AACTAGTTTCCAATGACTTTATATTACTTTTGAAGAAGTTGGATGCACTTTCCATCATGATCACAGAAAAAATCAACACTCTCCTATTCTCGTCAAAAAATAATCTTGTATTGACCCAAGCTTCATGCCATCAATTTATAGCAGTAAGGACTGCCTAGTATTAAATACTTTAAAGCTAAATCAAAATATTTGATAGAACATTCATGTTTAGCCTAGAAGTGGATGATTCTATGACAAAAACTGTTAGTTAGGACTCTGTATATATAAAAAAATATATCCCGAAATAGCTACCCTCCTTTTATTCTGTTAGTAATAGAACCCTGGAATTTAACAGAGCACATGAATGCCCAGATAAGGATTTCATTTTTTTCCCTCCTTTGAAGTTGGATGTAGCCATTTGATTAAGGTCTAGTCTATAGCATATTTTTTTTTGTAATGAACAACTTCTAGTTCTGGCCTATAAAAGTGTATACTGTGTCCTTTCTTCTTTGCTTCCCACCAACTGAAAAGTGGATGTAATGGTAAGAACTAGCGTAGACATATTTGGCCATAGGATGTATGCTGCATGTTGATAGGCTTGGTGGTTGGCTGGCAAGTCGGCTGGTTTAGAGGCTTTCTGGCAGATAGGCCGAAAGGCTGGCTTGGAGGCAGGCTGAGAGGATAGCTGACTGGCTGAGAGTCCGTCTGGATGGCTGGCAGATCCAGAGGCTCTCTGAGAAAACGGATGTTAGGCTGGCGGAGAGGCTGGCTGGGTGGCTATGTTGTCGGGCTGCTGAAACAAAGTACTATAGACTGGGTGGCTTAAATGATAGAAATGTATCTCTCACCATTCTGGAGGCTGGAAGCCTAGAATCAGGATGCCAGCATGGTTGGGTATTGGTGAGGACTCTCTTCCTGCCTGCAGACTGCTGATTTCACTTTATATCCTCACACGGAAGAAAGAGGGCCCAATAGTTCTCTGGGGTCTCTTTTATAGGGGCACTAATCTCATTCACGAGGGCTCTACTCTCATGACCTAATCACTTTCCTATAACTAATATCATAATATTGGGCATAAGGACTCCAACTTTGAATTGTGAGGAACACAGTCAGTCCCTGAGAGATAGAAAGAGCTGGATCTAGTCCTAGACTACTTACATGAACTAAGAGAGCAAAAAACCTCTATCTTATTTAGGTTACTGTTGTATTGTCCTTTGTTGCCACATCCAAACAAGTTTGTTAACTTATAAAACCCATATACATAAAAATCCTATACTGGACTATTAAATAGTGTGGTTAATTCTGGCCTAACTACTTACTCCCCTTTTGAATTTGAGCAAATTACTTAAAGTCTCTTAGCCTCAGGTTGCTATAACTTCTATAAAATGTGGGTTGCAACTAGGCACAGTATCTCACACCTGTAATCCCAACACTAGGAAGGCCTAGGTCGGTGGATAGCTTGAGCTCAGGAGTTTGAGACTAATCTGGACAACATGGAGAAACCCTGTCTTTTCAAAAAAAATACCAAAAAATTAGCCGGATGTGGTGGTTCATGCCTGTAGTCAGTCCCAGCTACTGGAGAGACCGAGACAAGAGGATTGCTTGAGCTCAGAAGACAGAAGTTGCCATGAACTGAGATCATAACACTGCACTTCAGCTTGGGCAACAGGGTGAGACCCTATCTCAAAAAAAAAAAAAAAAAAAAAAAAGGAATTAAGAAAGAGCTGAGTTTCAGGCATAATAGACAAAATAATTTGTTAGAAATGAAGAAAATATGGGGTTGCTATAAGGGTTAAAATATTTAATTCGCTTAAGTGCATGCCTCTAAGCCTTCCCAAATAGGAGGTGATATTATTAAAGCAGTATTTAACCTGTTCAGTTATACAGATGTATTTTTGGCAAATAACTATCTCAAAAGTTTCTTTGGAAGTTATGTTTTTCAAGACTGCATGTCCTGAGGATACTTACAGTGATATCTTTTAGGACTTTTATTGACATTTGTTACCATCCACTAACAAATTTTCTAGGTTAAATTTTTCCATAGGCTAGAGCTTTATGATTTTAACTACTATTTGGCTATGAGTACCTTGCATTCAGAATTTTTTAAGTAAATATTTTAGATTTATCCTTAGGGACTTTCTCATTTCATTTCTATGAAGAGTTGGACTGACCTACAGAGCTCCATATCCTAGGGGCTCTATAACTCTCAAATGAGCTTGTTAGCCTACTTCTAGCCTGAAGTTTATGGACCTTGAACAGACATCTAGAATATCTGCCTGCTGGTAACATTTTAAAGATAATTTACTTTAAATTGATGCCCACCAGAAAATTCTCAATAGCTTCGCTGCAAGAAGTAATATTCAATAATGTTCTGTGCATGCTACCTATTGGCTATGAGATTATCTAATTACACTGGACCATTTTTTTTCAAAGTGTGGTTCAGTAAATTAAACTGCATTGTACAAAAAGATGGTTTCCCGATCATGTACATTTAGGAAATGCTAAATTAAACAAGATTAAACAGCTTTCTTTCAAGCAGGGATCCCTTGAAGACTTTAATATGGTAAAGGTAAGCCATAGACCTCTAGGAGAGAGTATTGATTGAAGGATTTTCTAGGATTACACGATCAAGTAGTTCTTGTTTTTATAAAGCACTACATATACCTAATATAAAACCATAGTTTGGAAATGCTTAATATAAAATGTTAAGTTTGATTGGCTTAAGGAAGGCCATTGGAAAGCCTCATAGGTTTCTGCTGACATAACTGTCCCAACAGATTAACCATTAGTTAAATGTTTTCTTGGATCTATTTTTTGCTCCTTAACCCCTCTTAGACACTATGCATTAAAATAATCACTATTGCAAGGGACTGCCCTCAGTCCCAATTCTGGCTTTTGTCTTCATTGAACCTTGCAACTGAGGTCCCTGTAGGCCTAATAGCCAAGAACCTTAATTTTTTCGAGGCTTTGACATGCTATCTTGCCTAGCAAGCAAATCCATTTACTTTGAATTCTCCATGATATTATTGTGGCTTGCGGATGACCTGCCTGGTAATGTTACTGACTGAACCCATTTTTTTCTCATGAGCTGTTATGAGTCATAAAATTATTTTCAATGCTCAATGATGCCACAATTTTTTTAATTGGAAATCAGAATTTAGAATGCATAGCTAGATTCCGAGAAATCATAGCTAAATTACAAATTCGTCAGAAGAAATTCGAATCAGTAATTATTGGCTATATTATTGATACATGAGAAGATATGTGAAGGAGTAGATGGAATACTTTGAAAACTTGTGTCTTGTTGTTTCACAGTGTTTAATAAGAAAATTATCATCGTGTGAAGGCCTATACCCAGGACACACCTCAATCAGTGAAAGATTTCTATCAATAACACAGAGGAAAGCTGCTGTTGAAGTCTGTTATCTGGGCTAACTTTTGGCTATGGATGCAAGAAGCCATTTTAATAGTCTAGCTCCAGTCACTATTTAAACTAATAACACTCCAGTCCCATAGGGAGTTGCTCTGATATAGTAATTACAGTGAGCTAAGCTATACATCTGCCAGTGATACTAAACTTGAGTGCCAGCTCTACTATTTACAAAGTAGGTGACCTTGGGTGAGTTAACTAAACTCTTAAACCTCATAAATACCCTCATCTATAAAATGAGGCTAGTAATAGAATCTAATTCATGGAGTTGCTGTGAGGATTGAAAAAGATAGTTTATGTACTGGGCTTGCGTATGGGCAGTATTTAATAAATATAACCTAGTATTACTTATTAATTAGTATTAGTATTAGTTATTGTTAATAATAAAAAAGAGATTATGTACTGGGCTTGAATATGGATGGTATTTAATAAATATAAACTGGCAGGGTGCAGTGGCTCATGCCTGTAATCCCAGCACTTTGGGAGGCTGAGGTAGGTGGATCACAAGGTCAAGAGATCGAGACCAGCCTGGCCAATATGGTGAAACCCCGTGTCTACGAAAAATACAAAAAAAAATAGCTGGACATGGTGGCACATGCCTGTAAGTCCCACATACGCAGGAGGCTGAGGCAGAAGAATCACTTGAACCTGGGAAGTGGTGGTTGCGGTGAGCCAAGATCGCACCACTGCACTCCAGCCTGGCTACAGACTGAGACTCCGTCTCAACAACAACAACAACAAAAATATATATATATATATATATATATGTATATAATAAAATAAAAAAATATAGCCCTAGTATTAGTTGATATATATATATATATATATTTATTAATAATAAAAAAAAAATTATGTACCGGGCTTGCATATGGGTAGTATTTAATAAATATGACCACCCACACATACATGCATGCACACACTCCTTTAATAATAAAAAACTCCAGCCTTGTTGATGTAGTGGCTTGTTTTTTTGTGACTCCAGTCTCCTGAATGATATACTTGGCCAAAGGCTCTTATCTCTTATTCTTAGTTTATGTCAAATACAGTGTGTAAAGCAAGTCTGAGGTTCAGCACTGAAGAAGGTAGGACATCAATTCACACATCAGAGGCAAGTGCCAGCAGTGTGTCTTGAACTTTACTAGAGGCTGTAGGGAGCATGGGAGAAGACTGTGGTAGACCTCTGAGGACACTTAATTTATTAAAGAAACTTAATGCACCAAAAACTCTTATTCTTAGTTTATGTCAGATACAGTGTGTAAAGCAAGTCTGAGGTTCAGCACTGAAGAAGGTAGGACATGAATTCACACATCAGAGGCAAGTGCCAGCAGTGTGTCTTGAACTTTACTAGAGGCTGTAGGGAGCATGGGAGAAGACTGTGGCAGACCTCTGAGGACACTTAATTTATTAAAGAAACTTAATGCACCAAAAAGGGACCCAAGAGGGATGTCAAAAGCTGCTGCTTGTGAGGAAGTAGTCCCAGCATCTCAAGAGCAGCTGGCGGACTCCAGACTCTAGCAGTGTCGGTGGGTGGGGGACGGAGTAGAAAAGAGAACTAGGAAAGTAAGCGCCAGAAAAGTACAATTGCACTCACCAATTCACAGACCGCCCTTCCTCTTAATCTCCTTTTCCTCTTGACTTGACGCTTGAGGGGCCAGATGCAGCAGCTAGCGAACAAGCAAGGAAGTGAGCATGTGGGAAGAAAAAGTTTAGCCTTCTCTATTTCACTCACCACACCGAAACAGGTGAGACAGCCTTTCAGATTTAAAGCAGGCTTGTGAGAGAGGGGTGGTGACTGAGCACAGTAGGCTTTATAATGAATGAACTGTACTAGAGTTAGTCTCGCATACTAGATTAGACCAGACACTTTTACAATATAAATTAATATTCTTGTCACTGACACAGATGGGAAGACCTAGAAGACCCACCCTATATTTCATTTCGGGGCAGGAGAAGTGTAAGTTCAGAAGCACAGTTTGGAAGGGACAATAAAAGAAAAACTTCAGTTCTTTAGATTTCATTGTTCCCTGTTGAATTCTGCTGTATCAATAAAACATTTACCTATCTAATAATTATTCACATGCTTTGCTTTTTATTTAGAAGTTCGCTCTGTAGATTATAAAGATAATCTAATACATTAAGTTGCTTTCTTTTATATGAAACAATTGCTTTGTAAAAACTGTCTTCACCCAGTGCATAAAAGGAGTATTTCCAGTGCTGTTTCATTTTCTTGTTTTTCTGGAGATGAATGAAAAACAAAAATCTCCTTTTTTTAGTGTCCTAGAAACTGTTTTGAAAAAGCCAAGCATTCATGGCTGAATGAAGGCATGAGCAGTAGTTCCTTTATAAGCGAAAGAAAGAACAGTTCAATCAAGCATGACTACCACAGTTTCCTTAAAATGTTTGCAAAATCTACTGGGCAGACACCATGTTTTCTGATTGCTAAACTAGATTGAAGTAACGTGGGTATGAGAGTTTCCACAGGAAAGAACAGAAAACATGACACAGGATGCCACAGAAGCCATGTGGAGTGAAGGAAATGCAAACCTGTAAGTTAGGCCTTTGAAGGTCTGTGCACCTGCTGTTCAGCATAACCGAGACGGTATGTCATATTTCACACATAGAAAAAATGATCAAATGGCAGATAGATACCTTTTCTGAAAAAATGTGTTTTAGAGAAACTGAGAACACTACCTTTTCAGCCAGAAAAACAGGATATATGGATTTTTGTTTTCTAAAGTAAGAACAACAGATTTCACTGGCACACAAGTTACTAGTAACCGATGTACACACTGTACATTAAGTCAATGATCAATGTCTTTTTAAATCATGTGCCAATTTCTGGAACTAGCTACAGGGAAAGTAATTAGGTTAGCATCTTTACTGCCCAATGTACCAAAAACTTTTCATGAAGTGCTGACACATTCTTATCCTCTGTTCCCCTTCCTCCAATCTATTTTTAGTTACTTGGTTTGGGGACAATTATTGAATTGTTTATACAAAACAAAAGGAGCACCTCACATTAAAACAAATTAAATCTTCCCTAATTGCTTAGAATTCGACTGTAGAAAATGGAAGGATGAATTCAGTGGATGTCCCTTTTATTTCTCTAAACACGGACGTATTTAATTATAAATACAAAAGAATTTTATAAAGACCTCAAAAGATTAATTATTCCTATGTATTATTTGTATGTTATGGTCTATAAATGCTCAGATGCCATGACAATTCTATAGATTAGACTGTGGAGTTCTTTGCACATATGGCATAGTAGAGTGGGTAAAAAGATGGCCCTGAAATTGTATATGAGCTACCAAGTAATGCATTTGAAATTTAATCTCTGCATGTCCATGTGTTCAGCTGAAATATGGGCATAATAATAGTATCTTTCATTAAAGGTTATTTTGAAGATTATATAAGGTAAGGAGATAAAGTGAATTACATTCTCCCCTTTTAAATCCACTCAATGACTTTCTATTGCCCTTTTGATAAAATCTCCACCCCGAACATGGCCTCTAAGGCCCTACAAGATGTGGCTACCCGTACATCAAACTTCATCCTGTCTACTCTATTGACAATCTAGCTGAAAGCTTTTTTTTTTCTTTTTCAGTTCCTCCAAAGTTCCTGCTTTTTGCTGCCTCCAAGGTTTCACAAATTCTCTTCTTTGCCTAGAACACATCTCCACCCTCCTCCTCACAGCACACATAGCTCCCTCCCACCCAGCCTTCACATCTCAGTTTAAATGTCACTTGCTTTAAAAGGACTTTTCAGATTTACCAATCAAAAATCATTCCTTCTCCTTATTTTTCTGTAGCATAGAATGTTGTTTTTAATATTTACCACAAATGTTTGTGGTTCCTGGTTTGAAATGAATGGACAGACAGACAAGAATCAGGCAGAAGAGTAATTCAATACTTCTTTTATTAATTTTAGACATGTCAGGCTCTGGAAGCTATGGTTAGATCCAAACTTCCCATAGGTCTTATAGCTTGGAAAAGCAACACAGAATTCTGACTTTCTGAGGGCAGCCCACACAAAAAGAAAGAGGAGATGAAGAAGAAGGGATCCTCGGGCCAGTGCCTCCTTCCAAACACACCAAAAAATAAATTACTGACCTATCACAGGCTGAAGGTGTGGAGTGGAATGCAGAGAAGGCAGAAAAGGTTAGGAGGGTTAGAAATTCCCTCCATCTGAACTAAAGACTGAAAAAGCATTTCCTCCATCTCAACTAAAATTTATGAACTTGAACCACATGCACTGACTGGTTTTGAGGTTAGAGACAAATATAACCATATTCATATGATTTAAACATAATTTTATATGGAAATGTATACATATGGAAATATGTATGTATGCATGCATCGGTATCCTATGGAGTCTATGTAATATAGATTTATATATGTATACTATACATATAGTATGTGATACATATTTGTGTGTATTCATAATACATGTATATGCCATACACACACATATACATATATACACATTTGTGTAATTATTTGGGTAATATCTGCTCTGCAATCATACTGTAAGCTCTAAAATGAGAGTGAAGTAGATCTACTTTGCTTACCACTATAGCTTTGTGGTTCATCACAAAATATCTATAAAAATTAGTTGAATAATAGCTGTAAGGTGTTTGACATGTAATTTGACTTATTTTAAGAACTCAGTAGATGGTACCTATTATGGTTGTACTGCTTCTGCTTGTGCTGATAAAATAGTCTTAATATGTTGGGTATTAAATTTTGGTCTGGACTGTATATTTGTAAGACTTCCATTTCAGAAATTCATAAGCTTGCCTCAAAGGTTGCTCATACAGTTTAACAGACTATAATTTCAGGTAACATCTCGTAGTTGCAACCTCCACAGCTCTGGAGTCATAACCCCAAGGAGAAATAGGGTGAGGAGCAACTATAACAAACTAAACAGTGTATGTACTGCCCAAAAAAGGCAGCCAGTTTTCCAATCCTTTTTTTTTTTTCTTTTTCTGAGATGGAGTCTCACTCTATTGCCCAGGCTGGAGTACAATGGCACAATCTTGGCTCACTACAAGGCTTAGACCGCAACCCGGCTTCAAGCGATTCTCCTGCCTCAGCCTCCCAAGTAGCTGGGATTACAGGCGTGCACCACCATACCCGGTTAATTTGTATTTTTAGTAGAGATGTGGTTTCACCATGTTGGTCAGGCTGGTCTTGAACTACTGACCTCAGGTGGTGCATCAGCTTCGGCCTCTCAAAGTGCTGAGATTACAGGCATGAGTCACCCCACCCAGCCTCCAGTCCATTTAGACTTGCTTTGGTAAGTGTGAATGCAGTACTATCAGGCCTTCTGACTTTTTTCAAGAGAAGCTAAAATCCCTATTTTAAAATAAAAAATATACATTTTGAAAACTAAAACATTTCTGTGGTCTGAATCATATGGTGAACTTTTTGCCTTCATGCTACTCACAGGCAGTTAGTCTGTGACCTCTGCTTTTAGAACTATTAATACTTTTTGTGTATTTCACTTACCTTTTACATTGATATTATTCTGTGCTTTTCAGATAAGTTTTAACAGCTTAATTTCATTGCTTTATAAGAAATCTATTTCTAGCTGTTGCTTTTGCATTTCTACCTCTCTATCTTTTGCTTCTCCAAATCCCTCTTCCATTTTTTTCTTGATGTCAGAAGAGCTTTTAAAGCTAATTATCTATTTTAAGTATAGCATTTTTTTTTTTAAGGAAAAAATGGAACTACGCAGTATTTTCAAGACACATCACAAAGAAATCCATTTGCTCACGTGTTTAGTAAACTCAACTACAGACATACATGAGAAGAATTGACACATTAAAGTGGAAGCAATGAATTTATATACAGTGAATGTATTTTGTCTATAAATCCATTGGGCAAAAGTTAGGTTTTCTTTCATCTCTCTTAGTAATACATTTTCTTTTCTTTTTCTTTACAATTCAACTTTTGTTTCAGACTCAAGTGGTATATATGCAGGTTTGTTACTTGACTCTGAGGCTTGAGGTGTGAATGATTCCATCACCAAGTGGTTAGCGTAGTACCCAATAGGTCGTTTTGTAGCCCTTTACCCCCTACTCCTTTCTCCCCATCCAGAAGTCTCCAGTGACTACTGCTGTCATCTTTATGTCCGCGGGTACCCCGCGCTTAGTTTCCACTTGTGAGAACATGCAATATTTGGTTTTCTGTTTATGAGTGAACTCACTTAGGGTAACGACCTCTGACTGTGCCCATGTTGCTGCAAAAGACATCATTTTGTTCTTTTTTATTGCTGCATAGTATTCTATCTTGTATATGTACCACATTTTCTTCATCCATCCACTCTTGATGGGCATCTAAATTGATTCCACGTCTGTGCTATTGCGAATAATGATGAGATGAATACATGAGTACGTGCATCTTTTTGGTAGAATGATTTATTTTACTTTGGGTATATGCCCATTAAAGGGATTGGTGGTTTGAATGGTAGTTCAACTTAGTTCTTCGAGAAATTTCCAAACTTCTCTTCACAGTGGCTGAACAAATTTACACTCCCACCAACAGTGCATAACCATTCCCTTTTCTCTGCAGCTTCACCAACATCATTTATTTTTTGACATTTTAATAATAATAGCCACTCTGACTGGTGTGAGGTTGTATCTTACGGTTTTCATTTGCAT